TGAAAATGAATTTGAAATGAAAATGAATTTGGAATGGAAATGAATATGAAATGAAAATGAATTTGAAATGAAAATGAATTTGGAATGAAAATGAAAATGAATTTGGAATGAAAATGAAAATGAATTTGGAATGAAAATGAATTTGAAATGAAAATAAATTTGGAATGAAAATGAATTAAAAATAAATAATAAAAATATCCGTAGCCATCTCGGCCACCATACTATGCTGCTGCTGATTCTGCCAGGCATAGCTGTGCCCGATACCGCAGTACGTCATTGCTGGGTAGTTCTTCTAGTTAGTACGCATACTGGACATGCATGTGTGAGCTGGCGCCCTCAAATTACAGATGCGTCATGCAGTGGCGTCGACCGCCATTCCACAGCTTGTGATTATGATAATGACAGACCTGCGTTCGCATAATCGCATTCTCTTATTAGAAGGAACCGCTTTTCATCGCCGGTATTGCAGATACTGCGAACTCTGAGACAGATTTAACATTTTTCACGTGCACTGTAATTTTATTAAAACCGAGCCTGGTTGGAGAGCTTTCCAGACCGACGGACGCGGTGTAGAATTCACCTGGATTTGATGCGCACGTCACTGTCGCTAAGAATTCTTCAATAAGTTGGCTCTATTGAATCCAGAGGCGCATGGACACTATACTCTTATATTTATCTATCACAGTTGCTTCTGTTCGAGCTGACGTAATTCAGCGACAATAAAATATTGCCGAGTATCACCAGACTGCGTCTACTTCAACGCCGCGTTATAGCATAGCAACCACTCAAATTTAACGGAACATCTTTCGAGCGACTAGACTAGAGTTGCAATCGCGTATTTAATACTATGTGCTACATTTTACGGAAGTATAATTAAGCAGTCTTCTAGCATTACGCCCACGCGCACGCGACGCTCGGCAATTATAAGACAGCTAACTCTCAATTATCGTATTTCGACAGTTTCCCTTCGAGGAATTACTCTCAAAAGAAGTTAGTCTCTACGTTTTACAGCCAAATTTATCACGACATTGTTACGTTATCTGTACGTAAACTGACTGTTTGAACGTTCGTTATTAAATGTTATTCTAATATTGTTATTATAACAGTATAGAGTCCCCCCCCCCTCCAACAACACACACACACACACACACACACACACTTCTCCCCGTCTCTACGTTTTACAGCCAAATTTATCACGACATTGTTACGTTATCTGTACGTAAACTGACTGTTTGAACGTTCGTTATTAAATGTTATTCTAATATTGTTATTATAACAGTATAGAGTCCCCCCCCCTCCAACACACACACACACACACACACACACACACACTTCTCCCCCTCTCTCTCTTTTACTCTCTCTGTTCGTCTATCTATCTATACATTCAT